CGGCAGGGCATCAGATGAAGACTTAGAGCGTGGAGCTGCTGTCTCAGGCTAGCCGAGGGCTGTGCTTAAAGGGACCCGACCCCCACCCTGGACAGACAGTTCTCAGGGGTTCCCCGCTTGCAAAGCAGTCCTGGCTTGGAGTACCCTGAGTGCTCACACTTGGCACATCACAGCACTCGGCCATCAGTCCGGCTGCACTTGCCGCAGGCTGCCATCCGAGGGAGGTCAATCGGGGGGCTGCAGGAGAGCTTCCACCCCGAGGAGCCCACAGAGCCAGCCCAGTCCTCCCCATTGGGGGCTCGTACCCCATTCCTCCCTCACCTCCTTCCACTTACCCTTCCCTAGCCCCCCTTCCTGATGTAAAAAATAAAGGACACGTGTGTTCAAAAGTAGAAACTCTCTGTGACGGGGTGGAGCAACCCCGCCACTTGCTAACGCCGCCCGAGGCAGCCAGCGGGGGGGAGGCAGCGAGCGCGGCAGGCCGCCCGGTTCCCGGGCGTCTGAGCGAGAGGGGAGTGGCGCATCATCAGGCGGCGCCTAGGCTACAGAGGCAACAGACGGAGGTGCTGCAACAGCTAACCTCCGAATTCAGGGAGCAACAGAAGCAGTTAGTGCGGGAGTTGAAGGATGGGGCAAGGACGATCGGACCCACCACCGAAGGAGAGGAGGATACCCTGGGCCCGGTGCGACTCCCCATCAGGCTCGCCAAATTGGGGGCAGAGGACGACGCAGAGGCGTTCTTGGTAACGTCTGAGCGGGTGGCCACGGTGGCCCCAGGAACATTGGGCCACCATACTCGCCCCCTACCTGTCTGGCCCGGCACAGCTCGCTTATAGGAGCTTGTCCGATCGTGACTCTTTGTGTTATTACAAGGTCAAGGAAGCGATCCTTGACCAGTTGGGCATTTCCCCAGAGACATATAGACAGAGGTTTCGGGCGGCCAAGTACGTATCAGGGGAGCGACCCCGGGTGGTCGCCCAATGGATTCGGGAAGCCGGGCTACGATGGCTGGAACCCTCCACCAAAACCGCGGCTCAGGTGGCCAACCTGGTGGTACTTGAACAGTATCTGCAAGTGCTACCTGCAGAGGACCGACAATGGGTGCGCCGGCATTTACCCGGAACCCTGGAAGAAACCGTGACGCTCATGGAGCACTTCCTGGTGGCAGAAGCACCAGAAGACCGCGTCAAGGTAGGGCCGGGTACTAACCCGGTGGGTCGGGGAGGTCCTAGCCCCAGAGGGAAGGAAGGGCAAGACAGTACGGGGCCAGGGGTTAGAAGCCCCCCCTCCCGAGGTACGGAGCGACGATTAGCCCCGGTGTGGCGCGGAACCGAGAACCGCGAGAAAGGGGAACCCCGGGCCGGCGCCAAAAGGAGCACAGAGGACATGCCGGGGACCCAGTCAAAACCAACGTGCTTCCAGTGCGGCCAGGAGGGCCACTTTCGTCGGGACTGCCCCAAGATGGACTGCACGTACGGACAGCCCAAACCCTGGAGAGGCCCACGGCAGGAGGTAAGCCAAGCCCGCATAACAAGGCAGGTACGCCTGAATGGGGAGACGGTGGAGGCCGTATTAGACTCAGGGTGCGGGCAGACTTTGGTGCGGAGGGACGCTCTAGGGAAAGTGATACACACCCGGCCCCCGGTGTGGATTAAGTGTGTACACGGGGAAACCCGGCCATACCCGACGACCCGGGTGAGGTTACATGATGGGAGTCAGGGCGGGGAGCTACGAGTCGCAATAACGCCCCGACTACCTTGCCCCGTATTGTTGGGTAGAGACTGGCCCAGGCTGCGACGGCTCCTAGGAGAGTGGGACCCCACCGGCCGGAGGAACGCGCAGAAGGCGTGGGCGACCCAGGAGGAAGGCGAGGGGCCGACACCCTCGCAGGGGCCGGACAGGGAGGAGCCACGGGCAGCCCTGGAGATTGATACGGGCGATTTCCTAGCCCTGCAGCGGGAAGACCCGACGCTGCAACACACGTGGGAGATCGCACTCACCACCTGGGGAGAGGGCGAGGGGCGATCCGAGCAGGGTCCCCACTTCGAAATCCAGAGTGACCGACTTTATCGGGTCCCAGGGACCGGGGACGGGGAGACCCAGTTAATCGTACCGAAAGTGTACCGGTGGCGGGTGATGGAGATGGCCCACGATAACCACTGGGCCGGGCACTTGGGCACCGAGAAAACCCAGCAAAGGGTGCTCCAGCGGTTTTACTGGCCAGGGGTGTACCAGGATGTTAAGGATTTTTGCAGGTCGTGCCCACAGTGCCAACGGACCGTGCAGGCCCGGGTGCCCCGAGCCGCCCTGGTGCCCATGCCACTGGTGTCGGAGCCCTTCGAGAGGATAGGCCTGGACCTGATAGGACCCCTGGAGCGCACACGAAGAGGGCACCAGTATATATTAGTAGTGGTCGATTACGCGACGCACTACCCGGAGGCCGTCCCCCTGCGTAAGACCAACGCGGCCACGATAGCTGATGAGCTTGTGAAAATGTTCGCCCAAGTCAGACTCCCGAAAGAGATCTTGACCGACCAGGGCACAAATCTGGTATCGCGCCTAATGAAGGAGCTGTGCAAATGGCTGCAGGTGAAGAAGATCCGGACCGCGGCCTACCATCCCCAAACGGACGGTCTAGTGGAGCGTTTCAATCAAACCTTGAAAGCGATGCTGCGGAGGCTGGTTCAAGACGACCCACGAGATTGGGACAAGCTACTGCCGCCCCTGCTCTTCGCGATACGAGAGGTACCACAATCCTCGGTGGGGTTCTCGCCGTTCGAACTATTATATGGCCGACGGCCGCGGGGTATACTGGACCTAGTGCGGGAAGGGTGGGAGGAACAGACATCTACCGCACTGGGAGCTGTCCAATACGTAATTAATTTGCGGGACCGCATGCAAACTATAGGGAGGTGGGCGCAGAAAAACCTGAAAAAGGCCCAAGAAACCCAAGCCCGCCATTACAATAGGGGGACGCGGCCACGGACCTTTAGTCCAGGCGACCCTGTATTGGTGCTACTGCCAGCAGGGGAGTCCAAACTGTTGGCCAAATGGCAGGGGCCGTACCGGGTGACCAAAAGGATTGGGGAGGTAGACTACGAAGTCCAAGTGGGAGGAAGGCACCGCTAGAGCCAGGTGTACCACGTCAACCTGTTAAAACGGTGGGTACCCCGAGAAGAGCCCCTAGCAGAGGCCCTGAGTACGGAAATCGAGTTCGGGCCTTGGGGCGAGGAAGAAGTTACGTGGGCGGGTAGCCCCGTGGGGGTGGAACTAAATCATGCTCAGCAGGA